CTTCTTTTTGTTTTCTTTTTGAACTTCTTCTTTCTCGTTCCGTAACTGTTGGGTTCATTCTATCCGGAAGATTTAATGTAGGGATAGCTGTTTTCTTCAGAATCTTTCTTTCTGGTAAACCTGAAATAGAAAATATTCTGGAGTTTTATACTAAAACAAACAAATTAAACATTCACGCGCCAAAACAAGTAATATATATGAATGAACTGTACTTATGACTTACCCAACAATTCATTTCGTAAATCTCTTTCATAATCACTTTGAACAAAATGAACAGAACATATTCTACTTGTATCTGGATTAAATTTATCGCTCCTTTTGCAACGATTAATCCATTCAGACCTAATTCTTTTAGAAATTAAGTCTTTTTGTCTAGGAAACACATGAAACGTTACACTTTCTCCTTTAGCTTTTACTGCAAGAAGGTTATTATTGCAACCATACACAGCACACCTAGTACCCGGCATTTTGTTCTTCACCTAACATAAAAATATAGCTTTAAATATTTAATGACTTATATTTAAATCATCTTACCTTATAAAAAACTTAGTCAAATAAAACAATTACAGAAATATTAAAATAAATCACTTCGTTAATCACAAAATTGGACGAATATTAAAAGCGAAAACTAAACACGTGCACACACTGCTCTAGATAAACAAAGAGGTCAGGACTCGTGCTGACGTCACTAACTTGCCATTCCTGGCTAACATTGTAGAATAGGGATCCGGCTATCCTTGTAGTATATTGTCCTTGGTTCGAAACATCGAATTCCGTTATTCTGCTTTTGTTCGAAGGAAGATCATCATGAACGATCGTCGGGAAACGGAAAAGAGAAAACGCCATCTCACTCCCTCCATGTTAGAGGAAGATTCCTCTCGAGTGAAGAGACTGACTCCCGTGGATCGAAAACTACTTCGGAGAATAAACGACGCCGTTAACGCCGTCAGCAAAAAAATAAGAAACGATATTTTAAGAAAACGTATAGAAAGGAAGAGAAGTGGAAAACACGGAACATCTAAGAAGAGATCGAAGACAAGAAAGGTCGGAAGAAGACGATCAAAATCGAAAAGGTTGAGAGGGAGTAAAGAAAAAGGAAGATCTAAGACGAGAAAGGGACGAAGCGAAAGAAGTTCTCGAAGAAGAGGTAGCACGGCAGAAATAGAGTAGGAAGTCGGTAGAACGGTAATCTTCATCAATGTCCCCGAGAACCGGAAATAAAATTGCTAAATTACTGTAATCTAGTAATCAAACGGCTCTTTTCAGAGCCATGTTTTTATTGGTAAAGAGTAGCCAAATCCATTTTAATAAACAACAATTAATGCTTTATATGTCATACATTCAATTTTACTTTAAATTTTGAATCGTTCGAAACGTTTCGAATGTACATACAACAAATTCGAAACTGTATGGCCTACGATGAAGATTGGCTTTTCGGCTATTTAATACTTCAAATTTTATTTAAATCTCAAATAATCTTTTTACTAATTAAAGTTGCCTCGTGGATATATATACAGTAGAGCGTCGTTTATCCAAATCAATTGGGGACTGGGGTTGTTCGGATAACTTGTTTTTCGGATAACCGATTATGTACGAAAAAATATATTAACCTATCCCGTGTTGAAATTTTTCTCCGTTGCGTGTCGCTTCGCGTTGAATTTTCGTCGATGTTAAGCCTAACGTAAACTTTTTAAAATAATAATCGTGGCTATTGTATCGTTAAAAATTATTTCTTTATTTTTTAAAAATATAAAAACAAATAAAAATTATACTTTAGGCCGACTGGAATTCTTTCGGATAACCGACTTTCGGATAAACGACGCTCTACTGTATATATACATACAAGTTAAAGAGTTCTAGCATGTTTCAGCAACAATTTTTACTTTCCCGGCTTTTATATATAACAGAGGGAAAGTATGGGATCGGTCAAAAATGACCACCAAGATTTTTTTTTTGAACTTGATACCTTGAAACGTCGAGAGATGAAAAAAAATTCAGGGGTAATTTTTGTATATATGGATATTAGTATGTGTATTTATAGCGCGATTTTATTCAGCCTCTTTGAAGTTTAGTTAGCTTAATAGCGAGGTTGCGGCCGAAGTTTTCATCTCTAAAACGTGAACGTCGAACGTCGTGCGCCGCTATCTTGTAAGCGGCGCTCGACGTAACCGAATATTCGTTACATCACTATTAAAAATATAAAAAATTTTTTGCAAGGCTTTCTTAATCAAGTGCCCACGGAATGGAAAGAGCTTAAAAAAGGTAAAATTGTAAATAATCATATTAGTTTAATATGCTAGTTTTTACATTGACAAATCAATTATTGTTGTAAGTGATTCATACATCAAAATTTCAGTAAAAACTATTCGTTATCTATATATATATATATATATAAATGAATGTGTGTGTGTGTGTGTGTGTGTGTGTTTGTCTATCTGTCCTTCATGCATTACCATACCGTTTATCCGATTGCCGTGAAACTTTGAGATGTTGTTTAATATAATCCCGCGAAGGTTTCTGGCATAGTACGATTGCCATGAAACTTTGGAAAGTTTTTAATACACTCCCGCGAAGGTTTCTGGCATAGTACATTTATCCTACGATAGATGGCGCGCGTGTATACGAGCATTTTACTGTGTGTTCGATGGATTTCGAATTGTGAAGACCATTTCCCCCTTCAAAAAATATCTCTATATATGCATTTGTTATTTACGATATTTGTAATAATTTTTGTTTAATCACTTTATTTCAACTTTTTTTTTTGCTAATTACGTATTCGCTCGAACTTTGTTAAAACCTTAACTGTATCCCGAACAACAACCCAAGTTGTAGAAGGAAATTCGCCTATTTTACCGATCTAGGGATCCCCCCTTTTCCAAATTTTAATATCGACTCAAAATAAGTTAAAAAGACATAAAAGGTATGTGGGCTAAATTTAAAGAATCCGTGCTTCTCACATGTACAACTGTATGTGGCCAGCTCATGCGTCGGAAAACCTGATTTATTCGTGTACGCATCAGGGAAAAACCAAAATATCGTGTATCCACAAGCACTCCAATAAATAAATAGAATTGAAACGACACTTTGAAATGTTTTTCCGATGAAAATGAATAATAATAATATAATAATAATAAGTTTCAATAAAAATGATAAAATGATAAAATCGTTATGATAAAATTAAATTTTATCATAACGATTTCATCATTTTATCATTTTTATTGAAATTCAAGCAAACTTGTCATGATAAAATTTAATTTTATCATAACAAGTTTGCTTGAATTTCGTTTCTTCTGTGATCGCAGCAATGCGCGACGGGTAAGCTAGTGAATTTATAACGATAGATTCGTGAATGAATTTTGGGTTATTGAATACTATACGCAATGAAGTTTTTGCCCGACTAGCTAAAAATTGTCGGAAATACAGTGCCGGTTTACCTTCCTTAATCACCATAATTTTTGATAATTTCGTCTATTTTTTGATTTTAATCTGTTTGAATAGAAAGGCCTGTTTTTACCTTACAGCATCAAATATAATATTGATTTCGACAGCCGGATGACCGAGCGGTCAAGGTGGCAGCCTACCGCTCTGGGGACCCAAGGTTCGAATCCGGACAGGTCGAAAAATCCCCAGGAAGTTTTCGGGGGGTGGTCCGTTCGGATATATCGGGCCCGTCCCTTACCATCCGGTCACCCCATTGTGGGTCTGACCCAGTGTTTCTCAACGGGGGCGATATCGCCCCCATGTGAGCGTTTTACCATGTTTAGGGAGCGATCAAGGACTTGCGGAAAACATTTTTCTGGACGATGTAGTAAAACATTATATTAAGAATAATTAGATATTTTATTCATTATATCGTACAATAATTAAACAAATAACATTATACTAGTCACTAGTCTATTCAATGCGGTACAAATTTGGCTTTAGCCTTGGCCTGGGCATCGGAATTTTGAAGTGAAGGGGGCGATACTACGTAACGGTTTTGTTGAAGGGGGCGACGATTCGTTAGAGGTTGAGAAAGGTTTTTAGCAGGCCCATTATGGGTTCGGTCAGAGTCTGACTCAGACTCTGACCGAACCCGTAATGGGCCTGCTAAAAAAGAGGCACTCTTAATACCCACAGAGCGGAAAGACTTTAAAATATAAATATTAATTTTAATAAATACTGCCGATTTTGACATATAGTATTTATTAATTATACTAATAATTTTCGAAGAATTTCTGTACTTTAAATAGTTCAATCAAGTTATCGTGGTAAAAATGTAAACGAATAATGACGTGTAAGTAGTCGTTAAACTCTCCAAGATGGCATCCAAAAAGCAAGATTCAAACGAGGGCTCCATAAATAAATCCTCTGTGAGTTGCTAATTGTTCTTAAATAAACATTTAAATTACATATATTTATTTTAAAGTGGCGTATAGAATATAATTCCGTTAATTTTGTTTAATAATTAACTATAAATTATTTATTTAGTTTCATAAGCATTTTACCCGGCTTACACTAAACATATTTTTTGTATTTAGCCACGTCAAATTGTTTGATTTCCGATCTACGATCACAAACACGTATCAAGCATATTTAAAGTAGAGTTCTTAACTTTTTTTGTTTATAAAAATACTGAAAATAGTGAAAATATAATAACTTGTTCGTCCCAGAAATAAAAACAAGAAATCAAGTGCTTTTCGCATGGTGTGCAAGACAATCATATGAAAATCCCATAAAAGAGGTGCTAAATGACAACAAAATGTTGGGAGCAATGAAAGTACAGTACACAGATTGTGGTATGGCTGCAATGAACTAAATTAATGCATTAAATATAGTTTATCATCAAATATACAAAAATATTTATTCTTAAACTAATGTCTGTGTTCAATTCTCTGCATTTTCATAGTGTTTTAATATTTATTTGTCCTTTTGTATTTTTTGAATTCTTATGCTAAATATTGTCATGTAGACTATATATATGTAAAGAATTGTTTGGTAAAAATGAATAGTTTTGAAAAGTAAGCTGAGATAAGTATTTCATTTACATTCTTTGGGGCCACTGAATACCCCACGTTCCCAGTTAAGTAAAAAGTTTTCACGTGACTACTTAAGAGCTTAAATATACATCTGATCGTTATCCCAAAAAATTATTTTTAGGTCTGTGAAGTATGATTTTCCACTTGTGAAGATATTTTATAGACCGATCATTTATTTTTGTATTTGTGATATATTTTGGTTATAATAAAACATTTATCTATATGTATAAAAGTCAAAATATGCATGTATTCTTAGTGTTTTAACTTGCTTAAATGAATTGTGTAAATCGTTTAGATTATTTTTCATATACTTCTTGATCCATTACTTGTTGGGTCAATTAACAGTTTAATTATAATAGTAATAATGGGAAAAAAACTATAAAATTATTTTGATCATCTTGATGCAATAGTTCTCAACTTTTTTTCAGTCCAAATATCTTTTTCGTGAAAATGAAAATTTTATGTACAGTACCTGTAAATAGCCATTAATTGAAAAGAGGTTTTTAAAAATATATTTTGAAATGGTTTCAAAAATTAATTAATTAACTTTTTAAATAAATTATAATTTTAAAAAACTGTTTTGTAATGAAATACTACAATTAAAATAATGATTTGTTCATATTGCTGTATTTTATTCACAAAATAGTCCAGTGCATCTCAGAAATGAAATCTAGAAAATTTTAAATCATCTGGGTATAAACTGCTTTAAAGTTTTAAAAAATTTACATTAAAAATTACATTTGCCAGTCCTTACCAATTTTTTTTTTTTTTGTTGGAAGTACTTTGTATACCCATGTTAGGAAACATTGATCTAATATTTCTTATTTGTGAATTACTTTTTATATAATGTTTATGTAAAGCAGTTGTGGTCAACCTGGTCCCTACTGCCCACTAGTGGGTGATTTGAGCTTTCATGGTGGTTGGTAGGGATTTTGTCCGATGCTGAAGCTATTTTCTGGTATCTTCACTCATCTATGACTCACTGATGAAGCAGGTTGTACTGTAACAGTGGCCATCACTTGAGTTGAGCTCGTTTTGTGGTGGGGTCGGCGTTGCTAGACTTAGCTATTTTTTTCAGTTTGATGTAAAAAAAAAAAAAAACTTGGCACACTGGCAAAAAAGTTTTTGTGTATTATAAATATATCCAAAATATAAATAAAAAGATAAATTTAACTACATATTTTTACTAAACCGCCACTCAAAAATTATGAGTACTTTGCATTTGTGCTAAATTAACTTACTGTGGAACTGGTGAGTGGTTAGAAAATTTTACTACCAACAAAGATACAAAAGTAGGTGGTAGGTATAAAAAAGTTGACTATCCCTGATGTAAAGGATTTTTTTACAAAGATTCAGTTCTTTAGAACTCATTCTAACTTCTAAAAATATTACTGTAAAATTACTTTTCTCTGTGTTTTGTCAGTTTTTCATAGTTAATATTAAATTTTGTCATTAAAAACTTATAAAAAGTTTATACTATTATATGTCTCCTTCTCAGCAATATTAATTATAATATATGAACACACCTGAATTCTACTTGCCGAATTTTTTCTCTTTATTCAAACGTTTCCAGCCTATTTGGATAGGCCATCCTCAGGTTTTCCTTTATCGTTCCTTTATTTTTGGAACGATAAAGGAAAACCTGAGGATGGCCTATCCAAATAGGCTGAAAACGTTTGAATAAAGAGAAAAAACTTGACAAGTAGAATTCAGGTGTGTTCATGTATTATAGTTTATACTGTTAATTTACTAGCAAATAGTAAAAATATGTTCTTTCTACTATCATAAATTTATTCACTTTAGAGTAGTACAAGAAAATAGATTAGATTTTTCTCATGGGATATTCATTCTATAGATACTAGTATGGTACATTGTGCATTATTTTAATTTTTATAACTTGTGAAAATCAAGTGTTTACATAAATACTACAATAAATCAAGTGTTTACAGTATTATATTTTTGTATATTTTTAAATAATGATAACTTACATGTTAATGGAAAAAGTCAAACTCCTAATTAATACAAAAGAAATAAAGTTTGTAAGATAATCTAACTACAGTAGATCGTCGATTATCCGAATCAATTGGGGACTGGGGTTGTTCGGAAGATTGATGTTTCGGATAACCGATTATGTACGAAAAAATATATTAATTTATCCAATCTTGACATTTTTCTCCGTTGCGTGTCGCTTCGCGTTGAATTTTCGTTGATGTTAAGCCTAACGAAGACTATTGTATCTTAAAAATTATTTTTTTATTTTGTACGAACAAAATAAATATATTGAAAAATATAAAAACAATAAAAAATTATACTTCAGAATATTTGAGTAGCCCAAGACATAGCCAAAGATTGAAGCGCCACAGCACTAGCGAAAATTTAAATTTGCCGACTGGAATTCTTTCGGATAATTGATGCTCTACTGTATATAAAATTACTTATCCTGACTGACTGACTGACTGAGTGATTGATTCATCATTGCCCAGAGCAAACCACTGAACCTAAAGAGGTGAAATTTGGTACACAGTTAGGGTACGTCATGAAAATGCACACTAAGAAGGGATTTTTGGAAATCCCCCGCAGGGGGGGAGAGCATTAAGACTTAACCTGAAGAATGGCTTTTACTGTACTATTGATGCAATTTTTTGCATCAATAGTACATTTAGTCTTCATTGAGTACTTAGGTGTATTAAATTGATAACATTTCAGACATTGTTATAAATATATTTATATATTTCAGTTTTTTAACCAAATGTTCAAATCGTTTTAAATTTGAATTTGCTATTGCATATTGGTTCGATTATAGAACGATTGTAAATGTTCCAGAAAATTGATCAAATTAAAATCAGTTTGTTTGATTCTCAACAGTTCTCATCATTCTCAATGGTAGGTATTATATATAACAATTACTATGGTTATTGAAATACTGAATTTGAATGGGGTTTGCTTGCAAAATCCGCACGGGCAAAGTTGTGGGTAACAGCTAGTAAATAAATATTATTATTCAATGATAATGAGAATGTAGCTTCTAAATGCAGATTCAAAATCATTGAACAAAAATTATTAATGATTAAGAAGTATTTAAAACCAAAAAAAAAGGTACAGTATATTGATTTGAATGGAAATTATATTGAATAATTATTTTTTATTCATGTTTTGAACATTATTAAAAATATTAAAAGAAAATGTACAATGTATATATATATATATATATATATATATTTTTTTACAGAAACAGAAGACAGATGATAAACCAGTTAAAGTAGACAAATGGGATAACTCAGCTGTAAAAAATGCATTGGATGATGCTGTGAAAAAGGTATATTTAAATAAAAACATTTTTTGTTATAAAAAATGTTTGCAAGAATTTAAAATACTTTTTAGAAAAATTTTCACTTCATCTGCAGCAGGTATTTCAGATTAAGTAAAATAAAATGCTTGTTGGCAAATTACTTGGTTTAATTCAGTAAATGCCTGTATGTAGGCAGTTACTAAACTAATTTAACTAAACATAACTACAGTATACATTTAACATATAACTAAATCTAATTTAATTTAGTAATTGCCTATATAGTTGTGAGGTAGCAGAAGTTTATATATCAAAATTAGACCTTAATATTAATATTATTTGAGTTACATAACAATTGTTGTTTGTGGCTACCTGAGAAAGTCTCCTGTTACGTTTTCTCGAAGGCAGCATTACACTTTCTCGTGATCTTTTAATCTCTGGACAGCTGATATCTTCCGTGAATATTGCCAGAGACAGCCAAAAAAGTCAGTCGTCGTCAGTCCCTCCAATAAGGAAAATCATCACCGATCCCTCTAGGAATATCATCGACCAGTGCCTATTTTGATACCTTCTTCCTTTGTGATATTGAGTGACGTTTTGCTAGTGGATACTTTTCCGAACAATTCACCAAAGGAACTGCTGTATCCCTCAACGAGAGCTCCATTGGGAGATCCCCATCCATCACCAGGTATTTGTGCAACTCGCACTCGTTATATGAACTCTTTCTCTCCATAACAAAATTTAGAACCTCTGTATCTTCTCCAATTTATTTTCCATTAAATCTTTGTTAAGTGTTAATTGTAGTTTGAGTCACTTCCATATGCTGTCTCTCAATCGGATGACATTATGAATCCGTCTGTCCACTTACAGGACCGCTTGTGCGACAGTGTGACATAGTAACTACCGTCTCGGCTTCCATGTTCTGTTAAATACAGTGGTGTTGATCCTGACAGGGCACTAAGGAGGTGCTGACCCGAAAGGTCACATAGTTATATAGGCAGTTATAAATTAAATTAGTTTTAGATTACATAAAGTTAAGCTCAATTGCATAAAGTTTGAATAAAAAGTTATTAAATTATATTTAGAGATTAGAAATGGAACAAAGTAATGTTCTTATCTAATTTACTCAATATCTAGTATTTATTCTGAGATATTCCTAACATTTTATTTGACCAAAATGTCAAGTGTAAGTGTAAAATCCAAATTTTATTATGTTTTACACTTTTTTAAAATGAAATTTAAAAGTGAAAATAAAAAGTTATAAAATCAAATATTTTCTTTATATATTTATAATAAAATAGTATTAAATTTGACTTTGACTTTATATAACTTTAGAAATTAAAACCTGTAAATTAGAGTCTATATATACAGGGTGATTCAAAAAGGAATTTGACACTTAAGAAAAATCATATTTTCTCTTCTGTTGAACAGAATACATAATGGCATGAGTAAAATTGTGGAAGATTTTTTTTGACACAGTGTGCACTTCTGATTACACAGCAGATATTTATCTTATAGTCCAATTCACTCCACATCCATTCTATCATATCTTTATTGAATTTTGCCATAGCTGCCTGGATTTGTTCTTTTAGTTCAGTCTTGTTCTTGGGCAGTGGGTGTTCATACATTGTTCTTTACAAACCCCTACAAAAACAAAATCATGGTGTTAAGCCCAGCAGTTCTGATGGCCATTGCAACAACTGTAGATTTCCCAGTTGCTTTAGGTCAGTGGCGTAGCATGGGTGTCAGCCGCATGGGAAAAGGAAAATTTTGCTGCCCTCTTATTTAGGTATCTCAATTTAAAAAACTAAAATTCAGTTTCGTCACAGAATAAGTAATGAAAAATTCTGTGCTAGTGTTTCCACCTTTTTAAAATTGCTGATCCGGACTGCAGGTGGGGTTTGTTTGAACAGAAGTTTCTGATGCATGCGTATGTCAGTTTGCAATGCAAAGAATAATGTGCAGTGCATGCCAGTTCAATTAGTGATTAGGGAGAATTGCGTAGGAGTAACATAAGTAACCTAGATAACTTAGCTGTATTGGAGATTGGAGGTGTATATGAATATGAATGATTCGTACAAGCAAAAAAGAAAAAATAAAGTCAACAGGTTGTGAACAAAATCCTGGACTGTTTGGATGATGACACTTTTCGTGCTCATTTCAATCGGTCTGAATCGTAGGTGCGACAAATATATGTGATGAAATGGTTCAAGTATTTACAAGATACTATATTATTTATTGTGAAATTTTGCCGCCCCCTAAAATGTAATTTTGCCAGCTCCTAAAAAGTGCCGCCCCCACTATGCTACGCCACTGCTTCAGGTCCAATCCATTGCTGTGAAGTTCAGTATCCAAGTAATCAAAATGGAAATGTGATGGTGCATTATATTGTTCATAAATGAAATTGTCACAGTCTTCTTGCATTTGAGACATGAACCAAATCTAAAGCATGGTTAGGTAGGAATGTCCAGTGATTAATTCTTCTGAGAAAAAGAAAGACCCATAAAGTTTTTCCTTTGACAAGGAATGGAACACATTCACTTTTTTGAATCATGGATGTTCTTGGCACACTGGGGGTAATTTTCTGTTTCCCAGATCCACACATTGTGACAGTTCACTCTATCGTTAAAATGAAAATTGGCCTCATCACTAATGGGTTTATCATTGAGCAGAAATGCATCATCATCTATCAGATTTTGCATTTGAATACAAAACTGTCTTTGCCAATTTGTTTTGTCATTATCTATGATGGCTTGAAGTCACTGAAACCTGTATGGTTTCAAATGAAGACATTTCCTTATACATTGGGTTGTGGAATAACAAGCTGAGCATTGGCTCAACACAACTGACTGAGGACTGTGTTTAAATACTTCCTGAGTTCATTCCAATCATTTTGCTGACAGCTTCCACTGCATGTACTGGATTGCAAAAGCATCCAGTCTCTCAGAATTTCTCATTAAATTGTAGATGGATTGTCTGTTAGGTGGTGTCTTGTAAAATCTGGCTCAAAAGACGTGAAATACTGTCATTATGAACTCTGTATACATGAATTTCATGACAAAACATTTTCTTCATCCTAGAGGCAGCTATTTTTTGTCACTGGCATAAGAACTACAAGACAGTGCAAGCCATTCAAAAAACATTGTGAATTGCCCTATCAGTGCATACATCCCACATCAAACATTAACACTAATTTTTTCTTCCATTATAATTAATATATTTGAAAGTGTCAATTTCTTTTTGAATTATCCTATATTTAGCTAATGATGAATACATTAATATAAGAAATATTTATTACAAAAAAGATAATTGATTGTATAATTAGGCTTTATGTCAAATCAAATTTTTTGCTGTTAAAAATATCTAATATTTAAATTAAAATGTGTANTTTTTTTGTTCAATAATAAATGTGAATTCTTCTTCCTGGAAAAAATAAGACATTCCCTGAAAATAAGACCTAGTGCATTTTTCAGAGCAAAAATTAATATAAGACACTGTCTTATTTTCGGGGAAACATGGTAGTGACAAGTAAATTTGGAGACAAATATATTTGACTTAAGTTGTCTTTCCTGGAACTAATTACCGACGTAAGGTCAAGATTAAATTGACAGATTACAGATAAAGTAACGTTTTTGATTCCCATAGGCATAAAACAGGGATACTCCAGATAAATGATGCAGCAATTAATATAGTTCTTGGGCACAACAGAGGGATGATGGCAACATTTACTTGACAGGCAAGGTAATAACCCTATTAGAGTGGTCACTTACAATAAGTTGCTAGAAATGGTTTATAAAGAAGACACACTATATTTAGATTATGCTATCACAAGAACTTCCACTTTATTTAAATTACTGTGCAATGATAAATACAAGGTGTACAAACTGAATGCACTGCAATTTTTTTTTTTTTTTTTACTTTTTGGGTACTAAGAGGGCCTCTTTTAGTAACCCCATTATGGGTTTGGCCAGGCTCACAATGGGGTGACCAGGTGGTGAAGGACAGGGCATAACATATCTGGATGGGCCACAACCTGAAAAATTTCTGGGGCTTTTTTAACCCATCCAGATTTAATCCTGGATCTTCCAGAGTGGTGGTAGGCTGCTACCTTGACCATTCAGTCATCCAGCCATCAACGCACTGGAGTTATGTAGAATCCCTATTGGGATGATAGATTATTTGGATGATGTCCAGAATACATAGGGTCTATCAACTTCTTGCTATCTGGTAGGCTAAAGGAACATAAATATTCAGTAGATAGGAGAAAATGATCACAGTGCCTTCCACCTTTGCATCAGAACTGGAAGTTAAAGTAAATCTAGACAGCATGGAGCTGTTGCTTACGGTCTTTAATTCTTTAAATATTTGAATTAGACATCGTTTCTTTTTGAAATGTGTTCAATTGGAGAATGTTACGTTTTCGTTCAGTGTTTTAACACCAATTTCTTAGTTGAATTTATGACCTGAAGAAGGCCTATCAAAGAGGCCAAAAACATTTGTGAAATAAATTTTATTTACTGCTGGAAAAGGAGGTCTTTACTTGTGTTTGATTTCATTTTCCAGTTTGTCTCATCTCTAATTGATCAAAATATTTTTGTATAATGAGTTTGGTAAAAAATTTTTTAAATAGGAAAATTTTTGAAAATATTTAAGACCTCATCATTCTGCTAGCATTCCCCCCACCCCATGTCACAATCTGTCATAAAATTTGTACATATTACCTCAGGACAGATATCATATTTGAATGACCTCCCCCATTTATTGATAAATAAATTATTTTTAATGGAAAGTCTGAAAAGAATATTAGTCTGGCATTGGGGTCATTCAAATATGATATCACCAATTTTAAGTTTATTTTGACTACTTACCCTTCTTTGCCACATTTTTGACTACTTACCCTTCTTTGCCACATTTTGCACACATTTTGTCAGGTTTTGAGACACCTCCATGCTGATATCACACTTGATTTACCATCCCAATATTAAGATCAAGCATTTCTATAAAACAGATCTACAATAAATTAATTTATT